AAGCAAAAGCTGTTTCGGCCCGTTGTGATTTATTGATGATCAGAGCCTTGTGAGAGCGACGGGGGTCAACACTGTCATCGCGTTTTGATTAAAACATCTTCATACTGAAATATGTGACAACACATTTCTCCTGGCTATAAAAAAACAAGTAAACTAGTGCAGACAGCAGCAAAACACTCAAATTGTTCTAATGAAAAAAAAAAACCAAAAGTGAAAATTGTTGGTATCGTCGCATCTCTGGAATTATTGTCAATAAACGAAAAAAATAAAATTATAGAATCATGCCAGTGTTTCTCGTTTTCCCTCCTGTTACATCATCTTTCCGTTTTAAATCACAGAATTAGCTAAAGGTTTGTTTTCTGCCGTTGGCCACTTATGCATAAGAATATAAATTACCATGGTGTGTGACAAAATGGGCCCAAGAAATACAAAGTGCATCACCGACGGTCGTTTTATGTTAAATGTACTGAAATGCTCTAGTATGGAATCTTACTTTAGGGCCTAAATGCCAAACCTAGGATGTCTGCCCTTTGTCACATCTGCCCTCTAATGTCCCAGGCCTGTCACTCTGATTCCTTGATACTTGATGTGATCTGAAAGCGAGAACTCGGGAGAGCCAAGCAGCGCAGTGATCACCATAACCTTGACTTCCAATAGCAATACTAACTCCAAATCTGTCAGTCACATCGAGTGTATCAATCGCACCCCCTCCTTGCTGTGCTAGCTAGCAACAGCGAGGAAGCCGGCTTTCTGGCTTTTTCACTCAGTACTGAACAAAACATATTAATGCTGCAACAACTGTAGATAAACTCTAAATTTGTCTTCAAAAAGACTGTCCAGTGTATCAGTGATTATGCTATAAATGTCACAACAGCAGAATACAGTTTAAGGTCACTCAGTATTGTACATACAGGATAATGTGTCATTGTGTCATCTCCATTCTCTTTTTCACGTAGGTTGAGGTGAGCATTTATGAATGTGCCCAATGACTGCTTTGATGATCGATGTAAGTACTCAAACTCAATCTGTGTACAATGTTCCGCATTTGAATGGTCATGTGGCACTAAGACAAGGCATGATGTGTTCAATGACGTCTAGCAGCAATGCTTGTTTGTCGTAGCCTGGACAACTTCTGATTTGAACATCATTAACCGTCATCGAAACACAAGTCAAATCAAAAATACGTGAGACGAACTAATCTGCGCTATCAATCTAGCGTAAACCACTATCTCACAAAAATTGGCTATGCTACTCTGAGCACTTAGTCCTTCAAAAATGGAGTATAAATGTAAAAGTGAAGGAAGGTGGGGACATCCCGAAAACAACATCATATCATCGTAGCAGTCACAAGTGTTTGTCCTCCTCTGCCACATCTGTGCAAAGACATGATCCATCAGCCATCGGAAAGCATCTAGGTAGTACAAGGTCAGCAGTGGAGGTGAAGATATTGCACAAGCAGACTAACGTCAACAGCTCCATCGAAATGGCACAGCGCAGGCGTCACACTGAAGAATAAAACTCTTTTTTTTTTCCACATAAATGAACACGGTAAAAAAAAAAAAAAGTCCAAAAACACGCCCAGTTGACGACTTCTTTATTGCAGCACGTTTCCCTTCTTTTTTTCGATATCTATTTTTCAAACACCCACTTACTAAAAAAAAGAAAAAAAGTTGCGATTCTCTGTTCATCATTTGCGAGGAGCGGTTTTTAAGAGTCAGTTTTGGCAGTAAGTTTTTGTTCAAGTTGGGAAAGCCGGGAGAATAGATGGGTCAAACCGGACAGCCATGGGTTTTGTTATGTTTTTTTTGAGGTTATTAGAGTCCTGTGCTCTTCTTCTACTGCCCCACCCTGCCTATCCCCTCGCCGCCAGCACAGTAATATGATGATCACATGCCAGAGGCACCCAGTCCCATGCTGGCGGTGTGGCTCATGCAGGGCAGTGTCTGAACGGTCTTGGGGAAGTCGTGGGTGAGGATTCGTCCGTTCTCTCCACCGCTCCCGTTGCCACTCATCCTGGTCAGGGTGGAGCAGTGCATGGCGTCGTTGATGGATTGCTGTTGGAAGCAAAAACATCGCAATTAGCCCACAGATCAGATTTTGGTGTATTTGTGCACACATTCGATATCTTGTAATCAAAACGGTGAATGCAACAGTTTGAGTTAGCAGCACACAGATAATGTCTGCAGAGAAGTCTTTTTTTTTTTTTACGTTAATACACGCACAAAAGAGTCTGCTGCATGTACCTATGTTCCTTTTTGAATGTTAGGCACACCCAAAAAATCTGGAGCAAGTAAACTGTTAAACATTCCTTATCAGTTATATTTGCCGGTGTTAAAATTGGGGTACCAGACATTGTGCATCAAATGTCCCAATTTGTAGCAGGAGGAGCCGAGTGAAGGGAGGGCAGAGAGAAGGGAGCTGAGGCTTCACTCATTGGTTTACCAGCTTCATTCTCCAGTCTAGCGCAATAAAAGCCACTGGGCTCGAATGCTGACTTAATGATGTGTAATGCTTGTGTGTGTGCGTGCACGTGCCCATGCGTGCCACTTCGCTATCTGTCCGCATTCTATAGCTGATTAAATCGGGCAAAGCCAGTGCGATCTGGAGCAACCAGTAAGTGCTGCACGGGGATTGGAGAATTATACCGGCCTCTAATTGGAATGGTGTTGTTGTTTCTTTCAAGTCAAACAGCATAAAGGCACCGCTGGACTAATAGGCTCCTCGCCATTCTCTTCAGCATACTGATCAGGTGGCCCCTTTGTGGGCTGATTAAAACATAAGAGATTTCATGTAGACGATCACTCCTCGCATTCAGCCTGCCTTTTTTTTTGTTTACATGAAAACGATATCAGTGCGCCCCCCTGGGGGGGCTTTGAAGCTGGAAGAATAAATCAGAGGCTGTTTGTTGTAAATTGATCCACGAAGCTGATAACTAACAGCTGCTGAAGACCAAACCTCACATCTACCAGTAAAGTATAAAGCAACAAGTTCTACATTTTAGATCTGTGAACATAACAGCAGTTTGAGTTAAGACTTTTCGAGGTCAAAGCAGTGATGGAAGACATGCGAGCCGCACGACGTCTGCCTTATGGTATACATATAAACGATGTTCACCACAATGGGGCCTGCGTTAGCGAGACAGTCAGCAAAAAGAGAAGAAGGAGTAGGGCAGAGAATTGCTCAGAGGGACAGAAGTAGATAGATGTACCACTGTGATTCAAATTGCCTTTATACCTGTGCTGTGGTAGATTATTGTAATGGGTTAAGTAATGGGTTTTAACAAAAGGCCTGTGAGGAACATTGTGCAGTGTGACATCGAAAAGCAACATGTGTACTTAACCACACAGTCAAGAAGGAAATATTAGTTAGAGAACAACATATAGTGACAAATAATCCATCTACATGTAAATTCAAAGGCAAAAACTAACTACATAAAAAAAATGCTACATGCTAACAATCCTGCCACATTAACATATGAAACTCTAAGCAACTGCTCTGAAAACTTACTTCTCGAACGTGACGAAACAGGCATAAGGGCAATTTTGGAATCAAGTGATTGAACAACACTGCAGGAGATCAGTGACATAAAGACTGAGCGAGGGAGCGGCAGAGGTAGAGAGAAGTACAGGAGAGCGTTTGCACTGGAAGCCGTGGGAGGCCCTACTGTGATCACGGTTAGATGGGCGGGGAGGGGGTGTGGAGGCAGATGTCATCATCATCATCATCATCATCATCATGGCTTGATCACAGCGTTTCCTACCCCGTGGCTGTGCTCTGCCCTTATATCTTAACAGTGTTGTTGGCGTACAGGCCGTAGCTCTGCAGCTCTGTGTAGGGGGCGCTAGCACCACTGTCTAAGGCTGAGCAGTGAAAGGCCTGAGCGGCTGAGGCAGCAGCAGCTCGCGCGGTGGACACCTTCATTCGGCGCGACTCGGTCCTGGACTTGTAGCAGAACTCCACCAGTGCCACCAGCATGGCCAGGCCCAGGCCTCCAATCAGGATGTAGAAGACTCCCGCCACATTGCTGAGGCTCAGAGCGCTGGTCTTGTCCTGGGGCGGAGAGAAGTCGTGAGGAGGCAATAGCGGCAGCAGTATATGACATATAATTGGACTCTTTCTCTCTCTCTCACTCTCTCACACACACACAGACAAATTTAGCTATAAACTAGTTTCACAGACAGAAATCATAAGTGAAACGACTCAAATGGAGTACATATACAGCAAAATGACAACTATAGACAAAAATATTGAGCCACCGCTGACTTCTTTACAATATTCTTAGTAAAACTGAACAAATTGTGCAATAATTTATTGAAACTTGTGGAACCACACGTTGAAATACTATATATATTACATTTGCAGTGTGTTTGGTATCATTATCATGCTAAAAGAAAAAAAAAAGATGACATTGCACAGTGGAATATAATCTTCTTTTCTTTTCTGCATGTCAAGATATTCCAAGGTTTTGAGAATCACTTTTAAAAATTTTTGCCTGTCAAACTGTGTTATATTTGACATTTTTTGTAGATTCAGGTAAAGAATTGGAAACAAATTATCTGTTTTGGCTAAAGTAGTTCTTTGATAAGCTGACCGTTATATGTAGACAAAACATTGGTTCAACCCTGGACTTTGGTGTCTTTTTATGCTTGAATCATTCATAGATCACTGTTCAGCAGCTTCAGGAACTAGGAATAGATTGAAAATGAGTGAAAGAAAGGAACAAAAAAGCCTGAAGAACCATTGGCCAGGAAGTCTGAACAATAATCTTGTTTCTTGGAAATAAAATGTTAAGAAATGAGGGTGGCTCGAGATTTTTTTGCACAGTACTGTTTAACCCACACTAATCCAAACCAGTAGAAACCCACATTGTAAAGAAAACGCCTCAACTATTAAGGCACATGAAGACAAGTTAACATAAAAGTCGACAAGCTAAGACACACATAACCACACAACAAGAAAATAGCAGGGATAACAATATATTTCAGAGGCCTGGCTCACAAAGCAGTTTTTAACTTTGGATCTAACTTTGGCTTTCTTATCTTGGTGAACTTGGGGAGGAGACCTAAGAGGGGAGGGGGGACCTTCTTATATGATACAAGCAGCAGCAGTAAATACTGCAAGTGTTAAAACGATAAGTGCAAAGGGCACAGAGTTATTCTGTGAAACTGGTTCAGTGACTTTGCTTTTCTGAGAAAGTTAACTCATAAATATTTGAAAGATCTTTGTGTGCGCGGTTACAAAACAGAAGCCCTTACAAACGGGAGGTACTACAAAAAAAAAAAAATGTTCGGCATGCGAAGGTAGGACTCAAAAGGCAGTTTGAAGGTACGATGAGTCAAAGTTAGAGAATGGTGTTCCAGTCAAAAGGCCCGAGTGAATTTATGTTGGCACAGACTGATGCCCACTGCAGGCTCCAATGATTCATCAAAACATCCTTAAGCATGAATCGGGCTTAGGAACGCTCCCTCAACATTTGGCTCATTTTATCACCTGTCCCTATAAAAAGGATATCATGAATAATTTGTAGTGCAGCTAGTCTTCTCTCAAAGCCAGTACTTCCAAAAGCCACAAACAAAATCTGCCGTTGCAAGTTAACTAGAATGATGAGCTTTTAGTGACTGCTTAGATTTACATAACTTACTTATTCTGTCGCTACAGGAACAGAACATTTGAGGCTAAACTGTAACATCTGATGACACTATCATATACAGCAGACAAACTGAAAAAAGCCTTAAGTTAAAAAAAAGAAATCAAACTTTACAGAGACATCATAATAAAACACTTTGAGATTATGCTCTGTCTTAGACTAAGTTGGGATTTATTGTTGTCTTCATGAGAGAGGAAGGCAAAATTATTATTTCCCAAAACAGACTTACATAGTACATTAAAATGTCAGCAATGATATTGAACCCTGTTTAATAACCCTACACAAGTGTATATTCTTTTTATAGTATTTCATACTCTACCTGCCTTCAAGTGCCATGTATCTCTAATTCACTTCCTGCCACTTTGTGCGAACGTCAAGTCAAATTTCACACTTTTATTAAATTGTAAGTGGCTGTTTTGCGTGAAATCCCACCTCTTGCATGTGCTCTGTAACAAAACTTTGCTGTTTATCCACTGTTTACTGGACTGAATTTAACTTTTAATTAATGTTAACCATATTAGAGGCTTTCTTTATATGGAGGCTAATATTCTGATTCTATTAAGGAAAAATCCGAATAAAGAAAAAGCTCAGAATAAGCAGGTGGAACTGATTACGCCTCTTCACAAACCACTCAGAAAGAAGAATTTCATCACGTAATGTTCACTTTCTCGTTTTCTTTTCCTGCACACGTTCTCTGTTATGACGTAAATGTATGAGAACCAAGAGTGGGGACGCAGCGGGTAGCTGATCAATCGTGTGCTACAATAAGATAGCCACTGAGGCATGTGTGACATTTTCATTTCTTCTGCATGTCACTCCGCTCTGATTAAGTGCACGTGCATCCTCGCGTAAACACCAGACCGTATTAAGTCATGTTCCAGCATCTGACCCCAAATTTTTAATCAGAATAAAGATAGTGCGTGCATGACTATGTGCGACTCGCTTTGTGTGGCAGGCCCCAGATAGCATTTAACACTGACTTACATTTTACACAATGTGAAGTCAAAAACATACAAATTACAGTTTTCTTTTTAAATGATAACTTTTTGTTGTGAGGAAATGGGTATAGATAAACACAAAAACACGCCCCATAACACATGCATTCATGTGACAACAGCACAAACAAGTTTTTAGTTTGACATTATTTCATATTATGGTTTGTTTATCTCTGCTGCAAGTGCCCCTAACGTTACATCTGTGTCTGCTGATGATATACAGAGGACATTAATTATTAAGGCTTGAATTAGTGAACCTACCAAACTGATATTTTCTGTATATTAAATATTCTTTTTCATGAAATTATGTGGGGAATGTTTTTTATCACTCAAATAGACACATGGAAAGTTGAGTGGTTTTTAGCAACTAAATAAAACTGAGGCATCAATTTGTTTGCTCCGATAAACTGACTTTAAACCAAAGTGCAAAACTGAGTTTAAAGTCTGTCCAAATATGTAGATATACTCTATAACAGGTGACGTGTGCCAAACTATGTGCTACGGAGGACTGAATCTGCTGTTTTATTCCCCAAACACACTAGACTAAATCTTGAATTCGTGTTCAGTCAGCTGAATTTGAAAGTGTTCCAATTTATTAGTTTTGTTATATTAAAACTGGAAGAAAATTTTACCACTCACTCACTTACAGTAATACATACATACATACCCCCCCCCCCAAAAAAAACCCCTAATGACTAGCTAAAGTGTTTTACCACTCTACAGTATAAATATGCTCGCAGAGGGTAGTTAAAGTCTGAGTTTTTCAAGAAGACGATTACAGTGTAGTGAAATAAAAAGCTGAATGAGTACTACAAGTATGCTGTATAGAGATAATGCTAAATAATTAACACTGGACCATTCCAGGTTATTTTGTGGCCACAGAAAACAAATAAAGTATGATGTTGTTAGTTTGAAATCCCTTTGGGTGCTACTAGGATTGTTAGCTTTGGAAAGAGAGTGCTAGCTTAACTGCTGTTAGCTCTTGCTACATTGTTAGCATACAGATCTGAGAGCAGCATCAAACTAATCACTGAATTCAATCAAGCAAAAAAACTCGATCACTTAATTTAAGTACATATGTGCATATATCACAATAAAGGCTTTTAATTAGTCTGTTATATGTATGGTGGCAAGGTGGTTCAGTGGCTGTCATCTCACATCTGGGTTTGATTGTGTGTGGGGGGTTTTCAGGGTGCCTTGTTGTTAGAGTAATTGCAGTCTCTGTCTGTGAGACACCAGCAACCTGTTGAATCTTAACCCTGTCCCTGACCCAATGTCAAACTGGGATATAAAAATTGTATGTAGTCACTATGAATGCACCCAGTGCTTAGCAAAGTCCCACTGTGACTCTTTAAGTTTGCCACTTTTGCTATGTCTTTGAAACCAAATGTACAAGTGAGGTGGGGATTTGACAGAGGAACTGGATGAACATAGGCTTGCAACAAAAAGGTAGCATACCCTGATTGATCATTCACCTGGACGATGACTAGCATATAAGCATCTAAGAAAACAAATGGATCACAATGGTGTATTTAATATGACTTCAAACTATCGACTGAACCTATAATTCCATCAGAACAGTTTTTACTAAGGTCTGTTTTCAACCAGAGGAGACGTCTCCTGCTGGGGGGAATGCAGGTTTATGGCTTTTCTGCAATTACTTTACTTTTCTTGAACACACTATTGTTTATATACAGTTTATGGCTGGGATAGGCTTCAGCTCCACTCTGAACTCTACAGAAAGCCTAACCTCAAATGTAACTCCTTGCAACTACTGTGATTTTGTTTGTAACATGCTCCTTGTAGACTGAGCTCTTCATGGCACATAGTTTGACACTTCTGCATAAACTACCAATAGAACTGTCGGTACAAGCAATGGGAGAGTTCAGTGGGCCACACAGAGGTACATAAAGAGGTATCTGAAGTAATGCGCTAAAGCTTTTCTGTCGGGAGAAACTCCTTTTTTTTTTTTACAGTAGATAACAAAATTCTAATGCATGCAAGAGCAGTGGGCAGACTTGATACAACTCCGGGTTAATATGAATTGACATGGCATCCATATATGCATACCTTAAATTAAAAGCGTTATGCCAGGATTATTATGAAGGCTAATATATAAAGGCAAGGGCCAATAGCTCATGTTTCATCTTTCTCACTTCATGCCCTTTTGTGTTTCTCATTCCTTTCGACAAAAAAGATTTATGTCCAAAAAGCCTGCTTGAGTAATTCATATTTGATCTACTGCACAAATATAATGTTATCCTAACACTTTGTGTGTGTACATTTGTTCGCAGGATTGGACAAACCGTTTTATAAGGATTCCTTCTACCCAGATCCAAATGTTTAACAATTAATTTTAACAGTCCTTGCTAATCCACCACACATTGTTTATTTACACACTGGGAACGAACAATAAATCTCTGACAACACAATCTCATCAGAAGGAAGAAATAAACAGCAGAGTACCACCAGAGTACTGGCCCAATTATAAGACAGTATTTCTGGTAAGTACATTTTTCAAAGTGGTGGTGGTGGGGTGGGGGGTCATTTCACATTTGAAGATTTACTTTTCGTAATCAAAACAGCAGATGTTTTTTTTCTTTGAATAATGGAACTGTCGATGCACTTGCACAGTAAGCTGCATTGAGTTCATTTGCTTTGGTGTTGCTGCGAAAGCGAGATTGAAATTATCCCTCGGCATATATCTGCTAGTATTGATCAACACCCCAGCCGGCCTGTTTCAAAGTGAAAATATGTACATTTTGAAACAAACAAAAATAAACTCATTTCTCCCTTGGTAATCAAATGTGTTTTATGCAATAAACAAAACTTTTGATCAATCCAGTAAACTTAGTAGCAAGACCACAAGGTGGTCTCTGATGGCAGTCTGGGGAGCTGTCAGTATAATTATCATAAATTGATGACTGTTGTAAAACTAGTCCAAACAGGAATTCATAAAATATTTACAAAAGTATTGGGCCACACCTCTTAATCTTTGAAATCACCTGTTCTCAGTACCTTTGCAACATGACGTAATGCTGCAGTTAAATAACATCAGCACAAACGCTGTGTGCCAGGAGCTTCATGGTATGGGTTTCCAGCTCATGGTGGCCCAGTACTTTTGTCTGTATAGTGTAGCTAATGAATTTTCATATGGTCTAAAAAAGATCTCATCAGTTAATGCACATAAAATGAAGTCATCTTGTTGTCCTGGATACACCTTTACATTAACATTTACGTCATGTTTTTTTTAAGTGGAGCAAAAGTCTAATAGGTAATGCTGTGAACCGATGTTAATGACTCACACTGCAGACTTTATGACCCTTTTGTGACATTAAAATTACCATGCCATTTCCTTGCCATTCATATATGTGCACAGGCTTAGTTTAAATAGTACAATCTTTCTTTGCTGGCAAAGGTTAATGTTAATGTTAGAGTAGAAGTGGATTCAAGTGGTGCCTCTTTTGATCACGGACAGCCCATAAAGACATTGTTAGATATTATTAAACTACAAATACACAGTTTAGCTGGAAGAAAATGAATGGATGGACAGATGTAACAATCTCTTCGCTGTGTACTTACATAGTAGCAAAGTGTTTAGAATTCATTCTCCAGAGTGAAAGCTGAAGTAGATAAACTTTAGAAAAAGTGTCTTTCATTCACTTTGATTTGTGCATTTTTATTGGTTTCCTATTAATTCAAAATTAAGGTAATTAAATCCAAATATTTTGTTTCTGTAGAGAGATTGCAATAACAATTCTTTCAGATGGAACTGAGATTTATTATATTCTTCTTTAAAGGTAATGATGCATGGAAAAACATTGATAAGAAAATTTTGTTGGTCTATTTTAATGCATTTTTCAACCATAAACAGGTGAGAGTTATCCTTAAACATCATCTTATATTTGGGCCAATACAGTAGAGCTGCCAGAGCCACATGGGGAGTGCTGCTAAGTGCAGCGCACTTTGGGCTGGTCTAGTATTAAAGGAGGGTTGTGCTGCGAGGTGCTGTGAGGTGCCAGGTTTGGGTTGGAGACTAACCTTTCTTCCGGAGTCCTTGCTGCCACACTCCCCTTTATCGTACCACCATTTGTTTTTCAGTTTGTCTAAGACGGCTTGCTCATTGAGCTTCAACACCGCTAGGTTTACTGGGATTCTTCCAACCATAAGGGAATAACATAAATAACATATTATACCATGTTATTTTATGTTATTAATTCAGAGACATAAAGAGCAGCAAATAGATACACATGCCTGGATTTGCTTGTTGTCAAAAAAACAAAACAAAAGAAAAATGTCACACAAACCACACCCACGTGCACACAAATATATTGCAGAAACATCATTAGAAACATCAATCAAAGTGATATGAATTAATACTCCATCTAGCTCGGTTAGTTTGCTCCCTAAGGCAGTAGATGTGTATTACTATATCACTTTGGGCAACCGGCATACTGCTTGCACTCACTTATGCCACAAGGCTTTCTTAATTTGATCTTTTCCTATTCGAAATCAACCATGTTGTACAGCTAAACTTATAGTCCCAGAATGGATGCGTGGGAGCCACAACACAAAGAACTTTGCCGTTTTAATTAGCACTGATCAATTTTAAATCAGTGCGTTTTTGTTTTTTTGAGCAGGGAGACATGATGCAAAAATTCCCCTCTCTATGGATTTCAAATTCATCCCCTGCCGGCCAAGCAATCACCCCCCTCAGTCCTTTCCCTTTGCTCTTCCCCACACCACACAGAGAGATTAAGTGTTGCTGGAGTGGTGGTGCAGCGCGGGCCTGCCGGTTACCCCTCTCTTCCCCTTCCCCCACTTCCCACCCCACCTCCCACTCTCAGTGGTGGTGGGTTTACCCGCAGGGTTTATCAAACTGGCTCTGACCTTGGAGTCCCCGCCCCCGCTGCCGCACTCTCCCTTGTCGTACCACCACTTGTTTTTCAATTTGTCCAAGAGGCCCTGCTCGTTCAGTTTTAACACTGCCAGGTTTACTGGGTTTCTTGAAAATAATATAAAACGATAACCATTAGGAGACACTCTATGGGACAGATATAAAGAGATTGGTCGTATGGTGGTGGTGGTGGTGATAATGAAATGCTGACTTAGAATTGGAAGCACTCCTGCGTTTGGCTACTGGTGTTAAGCAGGAGCGCTGGCTTTATGATGCACGTGTTAGTCACATACCTGCAATGGGGCTTAAACACTGAGTGCCAATACAGTGGGTTTTACCAAGGAGGGGCTTGCCTCAGAGAGAGGCAGAGCAAACACTATAAATGGAGATGCTTTTGGATGCGGAAGTCTGACTACAGATGGTAATTTCCTTTCAGCTGCACCAGCATACAAATTGCTATGGCAACTAACCTATCAATATTCAAGCCATAACAGCATTCTTGTGAATAGAAGCTGATGCTGATTAATTTATAAATAACAGCAGAAACAAATTCCAGCAGAAGCTTCGACAGTTTTAACTGCTACGATCACTTTCACGATAGCTTTATTTCCTCTAACTGGCTGAAAAAGATGTTGCCTGACCAACTGCAGACACATCACCCAAAGCACCTCCCCATGGGTAGCTCTGTCTCTCTCTGGTCACTGTGTATTTCCTAAAGCTGCAAGGTTGAGGACAAAGACTATCCATCCACAAATCGCAAGAATGCCAGAATCTGCAATCAGAATTTGCATATAAAAGTAAAGATTACAGCCTTTACGTGATTGCCTTTTTTTTTTTTTGCTCAAATCAGCACCAATTCTTCTGCACAGGAACAATTTAGTTTGTCGGCATCCTGCCTTTCTCATCACTGAACACAGAAGAGTCTCTACCCCCAACCTGGAGGACATCACACAGCTGTAGGGAAGACAGTTTTTTTGGAGCTGGTAAAACCTCTAAATTCTTTCTTAGCCTGGCAGACTCAGAGAAAAAAGACACGAGAAGAATTAAAGTGGACATGGATGTTGTGGAGAGTCATGGTTTGGTTGGTTCAGCGTGAGCAGATGTCAGGGAGGTTACTGAATGTTAGTGGGATGGTGCAGATCCTGAAGATTGTATATGTCAGAAATGAAGATCAGAATTTACACAGAACGTCAGAGCAATCGACAAGAAAGTGATCTCTGAAGACATTCCTGCAAAATGAAGAGTTATTTTAGGTTTTTTTTCCTCAAAAGTTCTGTTTTCAATCAGGCCTGCAATGCAATATTAGCGCTATCAGCGCTATTAGTCTCATTTACTGTGTAGAAAAGAAATCTCTACTTATGCAAAAATCTAAAAAGAATGACAGTATATAAATGTCTAATTAGGAACTTCTATTGGAACGGGTATCAGTTCTGTAGTTCTGCACAGATACTCTATGAAATTTAAACACGATGAGAAAAAAAGAGTCAGATTATTGCTTCTCTAATATCCAGTCGTCCGTGCAAACTGATTCATTATCAATGCATTGCAGGTGCGATTGGACTCAGCTCTTTAAATTCATGGGTAACTCATTCATGTCCCATTCCGGATGAGCTGAATACATTTCCTCCTTAAAACCAAAAAAATCCGTGAGTCATTCTACTTGCCATGCTTTAATACCACTCATGCAATTGCAAATGTTTGTTATCTGTTAATGGAACTCCATATCAGACATCTGTGACCACAATGACAACTTGGGAATAAGGTACATCGCTAAGTAAATAATTAACACAAAGAGAGCGAGATCAAACGGGGGCCACCCTTAGCTGTTCACCACTCTGTCCCACTGCTATGTTGTGGTCTGGGCCAATCCCGACTACATGACTCTGAAGCAGATTTATATCAACCTCTTGTCTTATCGTTCATGCAGCATTAAACTTCATTTGCGGAATCTAATTTGTATTAAATTTTAAAAAGAAGCTTCTGATCGAGGCTTTAGAAGCAGTTCTACTCAGCATTCTGACCTCTGGCTGTCAACCAAGGAGGAAACCCATATGAATCCGCAGCGAGTTTGAATAAAATCTTCCCATATGGCTCCTTTCATTAAAATGAATGAGGCCTATTAGAAATAGATTAAAAGCTTCAGATGCCACCAGATTCTGCACTCTCTCTGTAGTTGCGGGAGAAATTTAAATGGGAAGTTGGTTAAGGTGTTAATGTAATGTGAAATGACAGCTGTTGCTCTTGGACATCGATGGCAGGAGTAAATCCGGGATGAATTATCCTTCATTATGTCAATTATCACATTAAATGTCGCAAAATACAAATTCCACTCTGCTGACTTCACATTCAAGGTGTGAGCTCTGGCTTAAGTGGTAAAGCAGCTATACGGGATTCTTTAAGTTGTAAAATTGCTTTAGGGGCTCGGATTTTTATGATTGGCACGTTTCTATTTTTTGCGTGTGTGTTTGTGTTTAAGGGGGATGATTTGAAGAATATAAAGAGAGTTTGAAATAAAATTGGAAGGCATCAAGGAAGCAAAGTGCTACTTAAAGAGGATAAGAGATCTCATCGTCCTGCTTTATACTTCTGCTAGTGCTCACAAGTCAGCTGGGAATAATCTAGCTGCGTACGTAGATGTGCAGACACAAATAAAGATGATCAGAATTGAAAATGGGAGGGATCGAGCTGTAAATGCCAGTGCAATATGTGCAAACAGTTGGAGGATGACCGTGACAATAATGAGATGCCTTCTATATCTGATCAGAGCATTTATACTTATAAGTTAATCTGGTAGTGCGTGCACAAATCATTCAGAATGCATGAAATGGCACCAAAAAAAAATCAACCTAAGCACATAAATATGTTCATAAATGAGCAAATGCAGACCTCCAAATAAACAGGTGAGGGGTAACGCTCATGCACAGGCACCAATAAAAGCACATGAAGGCTTTTATCCAACCACTGCAGTGGCAAAGGTTTACCTGAGATGGGAGCCCTTTGGTGTGGCAATTCCATAACCTTTGGAGTCCAGGTTGCCTCCCACCTTCATAGTGTCACAGGGTTTCCTCTGCTCTATGTACTCATTCATAGTGGACTCCAGCAGGTAGGCATATTTGCCCTTGGACTTCCTGACTCTCATGACACCCTCGTCTGTCGTTTTGACAAACACAGACGGGTCGGCCGCCTTCATGTAAGACCACATCTTCTCAAACACGGCGATCTTAGACCTCTGACAGCCAGAAATGTTAATAAGAAAAGGGATAGAAGTACAGGGAAAGGGACTATCAGTATATAAATACTTTATTATCTATCTTTAGAGTGTTAAAGGTAAATGTTAAAATCCTTAAAAATGTCAGGACTTTACTCCCAATTTAAATATTTATGCTCTTTTCATCCAACCCAATATCACTGCAAAATGTGTAACAGACGCAGGTCCACCGTGTCCATTTCACATTTTGCCTCTCCAAAACATGAAATGGACACACACGCAGACGTTGCTGCACTACCAGCACAGGGAGTGAAAATAATTCACAGGAAAGCGTTTAAACAGACATTAGTAACACATTTACATGTATGTACACATTAGCTGCCTAGCTTAATGGTTTCTGGTGATTAAGGACCCTGGAATGTCCAGAAAGTCACTACCGACTTTGTGCCTTTAAATATATTATCCCCCCCTGCTGGTAAGCGTGTACATTTCACGCTTTAGAGAGGCAAAGCGTGAAATGGACACAGTGGACCGGCGTGTCTGTTACACGTTTTGCCGTGATACTGTGTTGCTTCGTCAGTAGTTACTCACCGTTAGATTGCTGGCAGAGTCCACAGCTGTGTTTTTGTGATTCTACATTTACTGTCCTCTTATAACACTTTAAAATAACTTATACTTCCCAAATGCCGCTAGCTCACAATGAAAATATTTAAACCCCGGGTGTGGCAGGTTTTGTTCCTCACCCTGAAGAATTCTTTGGTGGAGCCAGCATCCAGCGTTCCATATGCTATCTCTGTCTGCTTGGCCAGATCCTCGGCACTCTCTATAGGAGACACCATCCTCTCCACAGTCAGGAAAGCAGCCAGATTCGCAGTATAGGATGAGATGATGATGAGAGTGAAGAACCACCAGACGCCTCCAACAATGCGGCCTGACAGAGAGCTAAAAAGAGAAGGACAGGATGTTGTTAGTCTGTCAAAAATAGGTATGCAAAGATGCTGTTCACACATATCTTTCACAGACAGAGCCAATTCTGCATTAAGGTGGGGGAGAAATAAATAGGTGGCATCCATCTTTCTCTTTATGGAAAATTCTGCACGCAATCAAGAAGAGCTATCTAAAAGAACCCGGTGATGTTCACACCATTCAAATGATCCACATTACATCACACTCACTGTATCATTCCTCTTTTCACTAGGCTTGGAGATCATACCCCGGTCTGCTAAGGAAAGATAACCAGCTCCACAAAGGCCCACTCAGCTTTCTCCCTGCCAAATTAATCTCACTTTAAGAAAGTCGCCAATATGGTCTATGCCATACACATTAATTGTTGGGGATTAAGAGGCAGACAAGAACACTTAGCCACTGCTCTAATTGCACTTCCAATAAAAAAAAAAGCCAAATTCAAATGCCTGCACTGTGCAGTTCGTTCGCATCTCTTCACCTCAAGAGAACCCAGTTTGAACAGCAGCAGCAAAAATCATGTTGCATTACATATCAGAACCCCTCCCAAAAAATCACTGAGGCACAGGGTGGCAGAGCTTCTGCAGTGAAAATGACACAAATCTGAAACAAAAAATAAAAGGCTTTCGTGATTCACCTTTGTACCCACGACTCAAATGGAGCATGAACATGAAGGCAAGATTAAGTATGGAGGGAAAAAAAAGAGACAGGGAGAGAAGCCGAAACGTAATCATTTAAGATGCTTTTCAGATGACGGGCAGATGATGAAAGAGCAGCCATGGAGCGAGCCGAGAGCAAACACAGAACGGTTGCAGAGCCTTTGAAAAATCAGTCGGGAGGCTGTCTGTGTGTGTGTGGTGTGTGTGTGTTTTGACTTGCTCACTGCTCAAAGATCATATGGGTGTAGGTGAGGTTAAACTTTGACTGCACAGTGAAATCTTGTGCACGTAGCATGTGTGTTGTGTGATGCAGGGCTATATATGTGGATATATATATATATATATATATATATATATATATACACACACACTTGTACCTAGGTGAGTTGGGGACAAGAATAACCCCCTCTCAACCTGAGGCAATGGTTCTCAGACAGAAAAGGGCAGATTGCTCGCTCAGGGTTGCTGCCTTCAAGTGAAGGGGTTCAAGTATGTCAGGGTCTCATTCATGAGGTGAAGAGTGGCGTGGAAGACTGACAGATTGCTGCAGTGTCTGCAGCGATGCAGATGTGATGCTATCCCGGTCTGTCCTGGTGGGGAGAAAGCTGAGCATGAAGGCAAAGCTGTCCATTTACCGGCTGATCTATTTTCCTACCCTCACTTGTGGCCACAGCGTGTGGGTAGTGACCCAAAGAATTATGGACACAAGAAAGCAATGAGCTTCCTCTGAAGGGTATCTGAGCTTATCCTTTGAGAAAAGGTGAGGAATGTGGTCATTCATGAGGGGCTCAAAATAGAGAGCTGCAGTTCCTCCACATTGAAAGCAGCTGGCTGATGTGCTTGCATGGAGCTGTTTTAGGCATGTCCGACTGTGAGGGAATTTTGGGATATATCTAGGTACAGCTTACGGATGCCTCAGTGTCACCCTAGAAGAGCTAATGGAGGTGGAAGAGGGAGGTCTGGGTGTTTATGCTCAAACTGCTGCTACCAAATAAGCAGGAGAAAATGGAAGCGATGATGGATGCCTATTTTTATGATTTACAGATATGTCAACACACTCATATATTTAACATACACAACACACACAAATATTGAGATACAGTTATATAACTTTCTGCACATCTGCAAATAATCCTCCTACAATAATATGCTAAGGTTCTTCAGGTGATATTCATAGAAGTGAACAACCCTTTTGTCATTTATACATTAGTCAAGAAGCAAGCCAGCCAGCATCCATACATCACATTATGGTTACTGAAGTGTCTGTATGATTCCTATAAGATCTTTTTGAATTTTCACAAGAAATCTGGAATCTGGCAATGCCATGTATTGATTGTGTGACTAACTATGCTACCTCTGCGGGCTTCAGGTATCACCTCAGTAGTGACACTGACACTAGCCAAATGCAAAACTAGTGAAAAAACAGTGAGAAATGATGAGGAGGGGGGAAAAATGTCAGTGTCCTCCACGTGTAAATCATTCCTGTTTTGGGGTTGTCTCATTGTTGCCCCTCTAGTGCACCTGTTGTTAATTTCATCAACGCCAAAGCAGCTTAAACTGATTAACAGCCCCCTCTGATACTTAACTGACCAGATCAATATCCCAGAAGTCTAACTAAATAGGTGTTATATCTCGAGCAATGTATTACTATTTCCTATTTGTATAGGTTAAAAAGGCAGATCAGTACGGTCTAAAAAATTAATTGATAAAACAAGAAAGTACAAATCTCAAATAAGCCCGCTAACAAATATATTCAAGATCTAATACTCCACCAATATGTTCCCAATCAGCTGTTTTCTTTAAAATAAATGAAAGCTCTAGATTATGCTTTGCCGGGATCCACTATAAAACTGGCCATCTCCTATTATTCGTGACAACATAGAGATAAAGAGCAGAAAGAGCAGAAATGATGAAAATAATGTTCAAGAATTTCAGAGTCCTTGTAGAAATAAGTTATTTTCAATCCTTTATGTTAGCGTTCAAACTACACGGCACACATTTTATTGTGAAAAGAAGAAGTTAAGTCTGTTATTCTAGGCTGAAACAAGTGAAACGAAGGAGGAATGTGTGTGTGTGTGTGTGTGGGGGGGGGGGGGGGGGGGGCAAATGGCATAGAAGATGAAAAGTAAACTGGATAGTACCACCAGAGGCAGACAAACTCCTTAGCTTTGACTGCTGCTGGCCTCCAGAGATGGCAGTAAACAGCTGTCTAATCCTTCCCCCTCAGTTACTCTTTTTTTTTCTCCTTTCGTTTTTCTTTCTCTCGCCTCCTCTCTTCCACTCTTTTCCCTTTCCTCTCCGTTCACCCTCCATCTCCGCTGTGCACGCCTGCCTGTCTCTTCATGTGCTGAGAGGGATGCGATTGGGGGGTGGGGGGGAGGGGTGGTGACAGGGGTTTGGCCCGAGACAACAATACCCTACACCTTGGCATTGATGCTGACAAATTCAAGTATGCACGAAAACACACAGAAGTGCGTGCACACACAACACACATATGACCCACATGTGCATTTGCTGCCTTCCCGGGGATGGTTTACTGGCACGAGAGTGTGTGTGTCTGAGCAAGGGAACAAAGGGGTCACCATTTGGACGAAGAGAAAAGGGCTGTGTGTGTGCATGCGTGGATGTGAGGGTCATTTGTGCACCTCAGTGTGTGTGTGTGAGAGTGTGAGTGGGTGTGTGTTGGGCCTCTTGCAGCAGTCCTCCCCATTTGAGCAAAGTGACTGGCAAACACAGACCTGTTTGTGTCTGTTTGTTTCCTTTTGAACTGCTCTCCTTTGAGCCTCCTTTCCGCCCCTCATACATTATTGCACAGCAGCCAACCTTGGCGCCTCAGTAAAAGATTAACTAAGCTGTCCTATTACAGTAAAGGAAATCTTCCGAGCAGCACTGTAATTTCATAGTCATGTTAAGGCAACGATTAATCAATTATTCACTCCGCCTTTAATTTTTTTTATTGTATTGAGAAGAAAATGAATGTTAATGGAAGCAGCAGCAGAAGCACAGGCTCAACCGCAGCGGCACAGGCAGAAATACAATACTTGTGTGTATGCACATCGTTAGTGCTGAAATGATTAAACGATCAATCAAAGTGTCCAGCCACTGACATGTGATCGAGCAAATATAGCGCACACTTACCTACCAAACTCTCTTAACCTTAAAGATCTATTTACCTTCTTTGGCTTCTCTCACTATTACCTTAAATATTAAATTTAAATAAATAAAAAAATACAGTAACCAAATAATATAATAAGTATTTTAGGAGCAGAAAAAGGAAACAGGTCTCATTGGTGTTGTTAAATTCAGTATCAAATCCAAATGAGCCTTTCGTTCTGTTTGTGTATTTTTCTAAAGTCTTTCCTGGAGCGTTTTGCTTCAGCTTCATAGTGATGGAGAGAAAACATGTCATGCAATCTGGAACTGCACCAGGTCTGCGGGAACACTGATTACACAGCTTCTTAAAGCCCCCTCGGCCACCAGGACTCACCACCCGACACCTACCCAAGTTTAGCATTCCCTAAATCAGCTTCTTGCTTACAGTGATGGGGTCCCTCAGGTTTGGCTTGCAGTGGTTGGAAGAGGACTGGGCTGTGACCTCACGTACAGTATTTACCTTTGGAAAGCAGATGTTAAACTCTCTTGTCAGAAAAAAAATCATCTTAAAAAGCTACACACGGCAGACCGGATCTCTGGCTTTGACGTTTCCTACGCGATCTCCACCCACAGTTCCCTGGGAATCTGCTATAGCGCTAAACTCTCATTAGAATTCCCCTGGCTGGCCTCCTCTTTTCGATATGGTAATTAGCAATGACTAATGACTTTAGCAAGTGTAAAAAATGAGCCAGTAATGGCCACATTACAATGGATTAGGAATTACAGAGGTTTAAATGAGAAAGAAAATGGTCTCTAATTATGGTGTGATTCTAAGACAAATCAGGGATGGTACAGGAGTTTTCTGATACGCAGCTTTTTTTTTCTTGTTTCCGTCTTATAAATTAGTAGCCGTATGTTCTCAATGACTGGGAACGGCCACTCCCAGTGTGTTTCCACAGGCGAGCCTTCTTACATGCAACGGCATGAAACAACAGAAACGGCAAAAAGGGAGTGAGAGAGTAGCAAAGTGGAACTGGTGAGGTTATTGCGCCACTAAGCAGAAATATATATATAGATATAATCCGAGATAGAGTGATTATATCTGAGCTAATCATCCCCTGCTCTGGTGAACTGCGAAAAACATCCTTAGCAAAAACAACTCATTAGACGTGGAAATGAAGAAAGCAGTATAAAGAAGAAAGGACCACTATTCAATCAACACAATGA